CCCGACGGCCGCGGCCCTCCAGCCGCTGCAGGGCGGACGGGGGCATCTCGTCGTACAGGCGGTAGGACAGGTTCCTCAGCACGCACACGGCGTTCTCCACGCTCTGCGGGGGCCACAGGTCAGACCCGCCGGGAGAGCCCCGCCCCTCGGCGCCCGCCACGCCTCACCTTGTCCTCGCACTTGCCCACGTCCAGGGCGTGGTTGATGTAGGTGACCAGGGCGTCCACTAGCCCGTGGCACTCACGCATCTTCTGGCGAGTGGCCTGGGAGGCGGAGCTGAGGTTCCTATGAGCGGAGGCAGATCAGACACCCCCACAGGATCCCGACAGAGCCCCCCACACAAGGGCCAGACCCAGGGGCTTAGCCCCAGTGTCCCCCTTGCCGGCGCTCACAATGCGGGCCCTGTCCCCTGGGCGTGTCCAGGGGGCCGTGAGTGTCCGAAATGTCCCCGGTGAAGAAACCTGCACCTGCAGCCCCCAGGGTCTGGTGACGTCAGCTGGGCAGCCGCACCTAGGGTGCTGTCTCCCCCACATCAGCTTCCCAACCCTGGCCAGCTCCGCCCATCATTCAGCTTCACAGGCCCCGCACCCTGCCCGCCTGGGCAGGACTCCCTGGCCCTCACCTGAGGAAGCCCGTGGCGTTGTAGAAGATCTCGGCCTCGGAGGCGTTCTGCTGGATGAGGGGTGGCCCGCCCGCCCCCGAGAGCGGGCTCAGCACCAGGTCTGTGAGCTGCTCCAGGGTGTCCCGGGCCAGGCGGTCCTTCAGGTTGTCACTGGAGGACAGGTTCCAAAGGATCCCTGGACGGGCGAGCCTGGTCAGTGCCCGCCCGCGCCCCCCTGGCTCTTCAGGGAACAGCGGGGAGGGTGCCCTGACCTCCCAGGCTCCTGGCACTTTGCAGGGCTGCTGGGGGCGGGGCGCGCTGACTGCGGCTGAGCCGCTCAGGAGAGGCCACAGGAGCCGTCATAGCTACCGAGGATGGGACAACTTGGGGGCAAGACTAGAGAAAGGATGGGGGCAGGGGCAGAATGGACTAGGGCCTGCCGCAGGGGCCAGGGGCGGGGCGCGCGGGGCGGGGCCCCGGCGCTGGCCGGACACCTGTGACGTTCTTGCGCAGCTCGTCGTCCTGCTCGCGCAGCGTGCGCAGCAGCTCAAAGATGCCGTTCTCCTCCACCAGGGCCAGCTTGTTGTCGGCGTTGTCGTAGATGAGGTTGCGCATGGCGCCCGTGGCGTGGCGCTGCACCTCCTGGTTGGCGTGGTTGAAGAGCTTCACCAGCCGCGGCACAGCCTGAAGGCTGCGGGCCTGCGGAGTCGGGCTGTGAGGGCTGGCACACGGGCAGGGCCAGGTGTGTGCAGGCTTCGCCGGGCACGCGGCCTGGCGTGTGCCTGTATGTATCCGTGCGGAGGCCCAGACTCGCGCAGGGGTGCAGGGGTGCGGGTGTGTGTGCAGGTGCACAGACTCGGAGGTGCAGCAGGTGTGTACGGTGGGTGGTGTGCAGGTGTGTGCAGAGGTGTGCGCAGTACGGCAGGGCGTGCAGGGATGTACAGGTGTGTGTGGGTGTATACAGGTGTGCCCCGGTATGGAGGTGTGTGTGGATGTGTATGGGGTGATGCAAATACACGCCAGTCACCCCTCTGGCGCCCTGAGCCCCGCGGCTGTGGGCAGCTTTGGGCCTCAGGGGTGGGGCCGCAGGGGTGGGCGGGCCTGAGGCGGTCACCTGCTTTTTGGCTGCGGCGTCGCTGTAGCACTTGTGCTGGATGTAAGCTGCGCCCAGCACCTGCAGGTTGGGGTCTGAGGCCATGAGGTACTTGACGGCAGAGGGCAGGTCAATGTCATCAAAGCTGCAGAGCCATGGGCCAGGGGTCAGGGGTCAGCTGAGTGGGGAGGGGCAGGGCCAGGGCAGCATCCCCTCCGAGCCCCGCCAGCTCACCCAGAGCTGAGCCTCTGCAGGGTACGGTGGCCGGCGTAGCTGTCCAGCCCACGCACGTCGGGCAGGTGGCCGGAGTCGGCCAGGCTCAGGCTGAGGCTGCGGACCGACGGCGCGCGG